AGGCTGAACATGTTCTGAGTGGTACTATGAACTATTTCCTTTATTTAAGGTAGATTTTTGTGAAGCTAAAGAAAATAAAAGATTCGGAATGTTATGTCAGAAACCAGATGGAATGAAGAAAAGCGAAATGAGGAACAGTCATGTGTAAAAGACACTAACTCATTAAATAAATCAAGTAGTCACGCCTCCCTGCAACTCCCATTACCCTTACATAGTTCTACCCCAATAAGCAAACATTGTTGTGTTAAATCAGTTTTGGCAATTAAGGGTGGAAGAGGGGATTAATTCTCTACAGGGTACCAGTACACATGGCAAATCTACGTGTGACACTAGATAGATCTATCCACACTCAAACTGATGGACCTAGCTTGACCAAGCCTACTGGGTTACATGTACATTATACCACCAGCTCATCAAGATCTAGATAAGACAAACTCATTCCCTTGTCCACAAAGAGCTAATTAACCCGAAGGAACTGAAAATAGCAGAGGAAATACGCATAAAACCACAAATCAAGCTAACCACCAAACACAGCATGCTACTCATCTACTAAAAAATCAAGTCAAAGTGACTTTAATAATTGGAAGCTCCATCTTTCAAAGAATTACCCCAAGGGGATTAAAAGAAAATGTAACAGCGAAGTGTATACAGGGTGTAATTATGCCCACTATATACAGACAACTGAACTACTATCATCTACCTAACTTTAGAGACATTATTATATTGGTAGGCGGTAATGACAGGAGTGAGCCAAGGAAGAAATATTTACAGCATCGAACAAGATATAATCAAGGTTATTGACTATATCAAAGGTGCCTCTCCGTCTACCAATATAGTCCTGTCGCGAGTTCTACCCAGGTGTGATGTGGACGTTGCTCACATAAATGCGATATATAAAAAGATGTGTATATCCTTTACTAAATATCGTCCAATATTGTCTTATGATTTGAACATGTACTGGAAAGATGGAAAACATTCGAGTGATTTAGGAACAGCTGAGTTAGTTAAAACATTTAAAAATTATGTGGACATCCTGAAACCAACCAAGCGTGTAAAAACTCCCATTTGCTTCAATTGGTTCCAAATCCTGCAAGCTTCCACCAGATGTGTATTGCTATTCGTGTGAAGTAAGTGCCCACAAAGCGAAGAACTATTATCACAATTCTAGTTACTGGTCTATGTATGGTCAATAGAACATAGGTAATGCTGTTAATGCCGAACGAGTATTACTGAAATATCTTCCAGCACAGAAGCGTTATGTATATATTAAAATTCAATATGGAATTTTTCTTTTAGATTTATTTGATAACATTAATGTCCCTCCTCTTGTTACTATAATGACTTTAATAGCAGTGTAGAAGTCGAGGAAAAAAATTAACGTAACCTATACTTGTTCAAATGATTCATTTAATAACAACCATATTAATATTGCTAAATCGTCTAAAATAGATCCTTATATTTGTCAAAATCCAACAAACAATGTTGATCATCCACAATCTAGTGTTAATATAAATGATTCCTTTTTTTTATTTGTTCTCTGATAACACCCTTCAGTATACCACAATGTCATCGGCGATTATCACTTAACATCATGGATTCAAACTTTGTCATCTAAATATCAACAGATTTTACAGTAATTTTACAGTGAATGATTTTATTTTTGGCGAATCTAATAAGATTGATATTTTAGGTCTAACTGAAACATATATTTACACTCAAAGATCCACAATCTAGTGTTAATATAAATGATTCCTTTTTTTTATTTGTTCTCTGATAACACCCTTCAGTATACCACAATGTCATCGGCGATTATCACTTAACATCATGGATTCAAACTTTGTCATCTAAATATCAACAGATTTTACAGTAATTTTACAGTGAATGATTTTATTCTTGGCGAATCTAATAAGATTGATATTTTAGGTCTAACTGAAACATATATTTACACTCAAAGATTAATGACGCATATATAAATATTTCTAATTTTGAAATAATTCGAAAAGATAGATGCAATAAAATTGGTGGAGGATTAATTATGTATGTAAAGTCTAACGTCATATTTAAGAGACGGTTAGATCTAGAGATTGGGGAAATTAAAACAATATGGATCGAAATTACACCCAAATATAGAAAAAATCATTTTTATTATGTTTGGTTTACCGACCTCCTGCCTCCAATTTAAACTGGTATAATATTTTTGATAGCCAGTTAAATATTGTTAATAGTTCAAATATACCATTATATATTATGGGTGATATTAATATACAATGTAGATTTTAAACTGAACATTCCTAAACAATGGTCTGAAATCTTAACGATAAACAATTCTCCAGCGAGTTCAAAATTGTACTCAGAATAGTCAAACAATAAAAGATCATCTATATAGGGTTATAGAATTAAATATTCCAGTTTAAGGTCTTAGTGATCATCAGGTGTGATGTAATTTACCAGGTGTGATGTAATTTACCATGTGATGTGAAACTTAGCATGATTAATGTTCATCAAACGACGTTAAGTTGTGACGGGTTACAACAGATTCAAGTTATCATGTGCATGATATAATTGGTGTTCTGTGTAAAGATGACAAGATTATCAACTCAATGAAGTAGGGAAACCAAATGAAAATGAAATGAAATCCCTTTTAATGGCCTAATTTTCTGTACCAGTCGGTCTAATGAAGACCATATTCCTGAAGCAACAACCGCGAGTTTTACAACAGATTAGTCTGATGTCCCGAACTTATAGGTACGTTATCTCCCTGTACCGCAAGCATGTGAACAATAGCGTTGTCCTATCAGAGGTCGTGAAACAAACACATTCAAATCAAACATGGCGACCTTGACAGTGAGGGAACCTTGAACTTTGCAACTCGAATATCACAGGTATACTTGGTATTCGCGATGATATTTTCTTTCGATGAATCTGAGAGGTTCCCAGCTAGGTCAGTAGCCAATCGAAATCAGTGACGAAATATGCAGGGTATTACTTGAAGGGCTTGATAAGATGTATTGAGATTTAAAACGAGATCAAGCCACTCTATTGAAATGAAATGAAATGGGGTTTAACGTCCTACTGTTTTGCTCCGAACTGGGCTAATGAAGACGGGCATACGCCATACAGTGTGCTATGAGGGCAATTTTGACTGGACAGCGGCACTATCGAATTCCAACTGTCAAGGGATCTTTTACGTGCACGCCAATGAGTACACGAGACCTCTGTTTTTCGTCCCATCCGAACGACTAGACAGCTGTCCTTGTCACCTTCCATTGAAGATGAATGAAGATGGGCGTACGTCATGTATTGTGTTATGGATAAAATGTCGCCCGGATAACGGCGATTCCAACTGCCGAGGCGCCAACGTGTACGCAGGACTTCAGTTTTTCATTCCGACTAGACGCTGATCCTTGTCCTGTGCCCGGCAACACTCATAGAGTAAAACATGCTGAAGTATCCCATTGAACTTTCTCGTCCAACACAGGGAGCAAACCAAAGCTTTGAATCTGATAGTGGGTGGGACAGTAACGATTATGTAAACGTTAACTTGCTGGCATGTTTTATTTAAACTTTCTTTGTCTGATTAGCATGTATCGAATGTTAAACTTGATATGATACATTAGCCAGATGCCTAATAAGATCCTTTGTTTGGAAGGGTTTATAAACCCAGATTAAGAAACAAATCGACAGACGGGTCCGGCCAGGACAGGCCACGCAGGTCTGGAGTTAATACCGGACAACGGCCATGTAATGTTGGGAGTTGGCACGTGCCTAGCCGAGCTAGGACATGGCTCTCTCAACACAAGCTAGTTATGGAGTCTTAAGTTTTGTATATAATATGTTAGAAGAAGCAGAGAATAAAAGTATTTTAAGATGTTAAACTAGTCTTGTCATCTGAACCTGATATAAAGACCCAATACTGTCACAATATCTCAACACGACTTAATCTACAGAGACAAATTATAACTCTACTAAACCCAGCAGACAACACTATAAATACATGGTTAGACAGGCGACCTTACTCCTGGCCACGTACAAGTGTGAGATCGAAACTACACTACTTGTCTTAATGACAGACCGTAAAGCGTACGTGTTAGAACTCTCGGCCACCCAAAACCCCTCTTCTAGTAATAAACAGCTAGACTCACCTAATCATTGGAACATTTTAATCCAAGAACAGACGAACTGCTTAGTAAAGCATGTAATCCATGAAAAAACTAAATTTATAACTCGTCATCCTAGAAATTACTAACTTTTAGCTGGATATTTTAATCCTAGAAATTACTAACATTTAGCTGAACATTTCAATCCTAGAAATTACTAACTTTTAGCTGGATATTTTAATCCTAGAAATTACTAACTTCTTAGCTAGACACTATAATCCTAGAAATTACTAACTTCTTAGCTAGACACTTTAATTCTAGAAATTACTAAATTTTTGTTGGATATTTTTATCGTAACTTCTTAGCTGGATATTTTAATCCTAAAAATTACTAACTTTTAGGTGGACATTTTAATCGTAGAAATGACTAACGTCTTAGCTGGACATTTTAATCTTAGAAATTACTAAATTTTAGCTGGACATTTGAATCCCGATCTTACTGTGCAGTAAAATGACACGGCGAAGCGAAAATTATCTTTATAGCAACCAACCAAGATGTTCTAAGCATTATTGCTTGTTTGAAACAAACGAGAATAAAAGATCTGATAGAACGACATTGATTATAATTAATGTACAATGTGTCGTGTCAACACTGATGTACTCGTTTTCCGCCTTGCAGAATTCGCGTCGACGTATCAGAAAAATAAAAACTTTCTCACGTATCACGAGATTCATCAGTTCTAGAAATAAAGAAATCGAATACGTATAATATGTTTTATTCTTGAACATCTACAATCATAAATCAATTGCATTGTGTGCGTCATAGAAATCTCTCTGTGCCATCTTCTTAACGTTTGTCTTATACAAATCAAAAAGCTGAAGGTACAAATACTAAAATACTTACTTACTTTAGCGTTGTCGGTAATCTGAAGTGTTGTTTGATAGAAACTTGTTTCTTGATGGGACCGCTACAATTTAATGGAACCGCTCCAATTTGTTAACAGTTTTAAAGGAAAGGAAAAAACAACAAGATGTCTATCGCCCGATTTGAACAATTGTTTTAAACACAATCCACAATAACCTGTTATGTTATTCTTAAAATTGTGTGTTTCAAAAGCGATAATCACTTCATCTGTCAGTAATATTACGTGTCGTCTTCTTGCCCACTTACTTTCTTAAAACATTAAACATATTTCTCAGATGATTGCTGTTTTCTGAATAGACTTATTAAAAGGCTTAATGCATTTCAAATGTAACCACAGGGGAAATAAAGTTTCTAATTCATGAAACACTCAAACGTATTATGTTCAACATCAAATTGCTTGCCAAGACCCAGTTGAAATCATTTCACATGAAAATGTCAACAAATGTCTATTTTGCAATTCATGGCGACGATTACCACATTTCCAAATATTCAGAAAGATTTCACAAATGTCATATTCTCCTTAGCGGGATGTCAGTTCAGTAGGAATTTTTATCGAATAATAACTAGTTAAGTGAGAGAGAGATATTGAGCGCCCACCTTTCTATATTGTATCAATAAAGCTGAATCGTTATTAAACAGTTTAGGTCACTAGATTCTGCTTGATAAGATTGAGTAAAATGTTTTAATGTCGACACTGTCCCATTGCCATATTAATCAATCAATCAATCGGCGCAAACTCCTTTTTTCCACTGAAAAAGGTGCGTTTCTTGTCAATGCCCCCTTGTCAATTAGTGACTGCCAGCATATAATTGTCTTTTATTAGCTGCGACGCGTCCTATTTACTGTCGAGCGTTGATATCGCCTGGGTTTTTAAACCAGGTGATGTTAGATCTTAATACTATAGAGTCAAGCACTTTTCTGATTGCAGCCATCCGTTTGTCCTGTCGACTTCCTCAGTCTTTGGTTAACGGAACGTAAATAAATAATCACACACCTTTTAACGTCCATCAATCCAAATTTTCTTAAACGTCTTGCTATTAGTCTCCTTTTTTTTTTTTACAAAACTGCTGTTCTGTTTAAAACACACACTGATTACTTAAATACGTTTTGTTTTTTTCACTCACAGTTCCTACTGAAAACCTATCAGTTGTTTTATGAAACAACTTGGTTGTCAGCAGAAATAAGCCTCTTTATTTGTCAAGACTGGTGTGTTTTATCATTTGACAAGATGCAGCAAGCTAAGATACGTTGATATTTTAGCTACTTGTCACGAAATGTATTTTGATACTTTAACTGAAGATATTAAATCTAGCTCCTTTAATCATTCTCTGTAACAGCCTGGAGCATTCAACTCTTATTACGTGAACATGTTTTCATGTATACGAATATCTTGAAACCCAGTACGATAAAAGATAAAACAAAATTTTTTACTATTAACGCATTTCACAAAATAATATGTTATATATTTTCTCAAATCCACACAAAACGTTTTTCCTCCGTTTATACAAAAAGCTAAAACCGGGATAACAGCTTATTATCTTCCCGGATTCTGTGTCTGTGCGTCAATATCAATATAGAATAATGATTCTGGACAAATTACAGTGTCTAGTTAAAATGATTCTCCGATTTATATCGAAGACCTTACTTACGTCGATGTTGTCTCAACAGACATATCACACATTACAGCCACAAAATAGTCAATGAACTGCTACCTTCAATAAACCAAACCGCGAAAGTATCCACGGCTCCTCTTCGTTTTGGACACTGTTGTCTCCACCTGAACGAAGAATCCAAAACTAGTTGGTCCTATAAAATAATTCTACACTCGAGGTCGTCTCATTCCATTTTAAGAAACTCTTCTCTAAGTGTAATTATAACCGACAAAAGGGGACGAACAATAAACGTGTCGGATTGTCCGGATGCAGATTTTTTTCACAGCCAATTTTAATGTTCAAATAATAGTTTCCTGGCTCTGCTTCAAACACAATGATTTTACAATATGAAGAATCGATCGAGGTCTAACGGGAATCTAGCAATATTCACAAGCAACCAAGAAATGGCACGTATTAAAAGGATTATAACGTACTCGTTAACCTGTATTAAACGATGTAACAAAGGCTCAGACCTGTATTTCCCACCGAGAATGGCTGCTAATGGTAAGAGATTTGTCTATTAATCCTACAGATCCGGTCCCCGATCGACTTCAGTTCTAATTTCCAGCTTCACTAATGACCTGATTCGATCCAATGAAACACTGATCAATTAGATGATATGAGATAGACCAAAGATTAAACATAATCATTTGATCAAAGGTTATTGATAGATCTAATAAACTTGGGGTATTATTATAGCTTTGGTCATGGTGATATCAATCAGTATGATTCAAACCCTATAAATCAATATTTGATACCTATAGATAGTGTGTGATATCTTTATAATCACCGCTTGACAATAATCAGTTGGACAATCTAAATGTTGTCATTCAAATCGAATATGGAAACATTGTTATTATTGTTAGTAATAAGTCATGCTTGAGAGGTAAACTGTGCGACGGGGACTAGAACTATTGGGTATCGTAGGCTCTACCAGTTTAACATCTAGTATGTATTATATAGAATAGTTCAATATGGTCTGCGATATCACCACAGGTTCAAGCGGACGTTAATATTTCTAGAACACTAAATACGACTTGATGTAGGAGGAGTTTAACATCCCTTATATAAAAGTTTGTCCCTTTAGATAAACAGCGTTCTTAGTTTATAATAATACACTATTGTTACCACATGCTCAACATGAAAACATATTCGATTAATTATCTTGTAATTAGTTTGAACAATTCACAAACAGATAACAATCGATGTTGTTGAAAATAATACACTTTTACAAAGCTTTCTTCAAACCAATTTCATTTCCTGGTAAATTGTCGTCAAGCTGTTTTTAACGATGTTTTTGTTAAATGTCACAGTATTGTAGTCTTCTGTGCTCTTGAATCGAGTTCATAGTAATTACTAATACATCACCAAGCACCTGCAAAACAAAAAAAAAACAGATATAAGCTATAATTTAATCAAATATATAATAATATAATAATGGTGGATACCGCCCATGGCCACAGACACTTTACTTTGGTCTTTTAATCTAATCTTATGAATAATAAGCCATCATGTTTCACGGTAACAGACAATGTGTTTTCCTTAAGGAAGTAAAATAATACAAGTTATAATCTTCTGAAGACTGGGCAGAACAATAATCTACGTCTTCATTAGCCAAATCGGAACAGAACAGTTAAACACCATTTCAGAACAATAATAATTTATAAAAATAGCTATCATGATTCGCAAAGTTCTAGAGTTATTATACGTTGTAGTTTCCTTAAGGAAATAAAATATAATTGATATTTTAGAGGCATTTAGTACCCGTATAGAACAACTTGTAATAAATTTACTTAGGTGACGTTTCTAAGTTTTGTGCGACGTTTCTAAATTTTCAACGTTTATTACTTGCTTGAAAACGTAGAGAAAGTACTCGTGAAAACGTCGCCCAAAACAATTAGTAATTGTGCCGCTATAAGTATGTATGACAGCTTATCTAAGATGAGTAATTGTGCCGCTATAAGTATGTATGACAACTTATCTAAGATGAGTAATTGTGCCGCTATAAGTATGTATGACAACTTATCTAAGCTGAGTAATTGGGTTTAAATGATTTAAACTGGTTAAATCAGAGTTTGATCTGATGTAAAATAAAATACTCAATTGTACTTATTCTCGTCACACAACACATCGATCATTTTGGAACTAACATACGGAAATTGTGGGACTAACACATGGTAATTTTGGGACTAACACACAGCAATTTTGGGACATTTTGATATCTAAAGTTGAGTTCTAAAGCGATATCCTGTGATTTTGCACGGACATCTACAATCTAGGTCACGTGTACACGTTAGTGTGTACGTAAAAGAACCCTTGATGGTTTCAATTCGAAATAAAATATGGCAGTAGCATCGCTTTCCGGGTCTGACATAGACAGCTGTCTGTTCATTCAGATGGGACGAAAAACTGAGGCCCCTGTGCACATTGGCGGAACGTAAAAGGTGCCCTGGCAGTTGGTATTCGATATAAGAGTAGGCCGTAGTGCCGCTGTCTATCATAGCATATTGTATGTCGTATGCCCGTCTTGTTTATCCCAGTTGGAACAGAAAAGTAGGCCGTTCAACCCCATTTCATTTCACCGCTTTCCGGGCAATATTTACGACGTACTTATACCCCCTTCTTCATTAGCATTTATAGCGTAGAATAGTAGCACACTGTATGACGCACACCCGGCCTAATTAGCCCAGTCGATGAATTTCTTTTCATGAAAGTAGGTCGTTAAGCCCCACCTGTTTTCATTGTATAGAACGCTCACATTTAACAATATCGTAGATTCGACGTCTCTTGATATAGAGTTGACTCGTATACAACTGGCGTCATTTTTGAAAACGTTATGATTTCTTAAGATTTAACGTTGCTGTTTTGTATGGTATATGTAGATGTAAACATCGCTTTCTGTAGAAAGACGGTTACATGAGTAAAAAGAGTATATTGTTAAAGGTTTATCGATTTTTGTCACATTTGAGATATAATAATTAAACGTGTCATACATCTTTCATGATGTAATATAAAACATGTCTGTCATACCCCGTAGCGTATCCGATACATTAGTATATTACATATACAATTGAATTCAAATTTAACTAGGAATTTGCTCTATGGAGCTCCTGTCGGGGGCGGAGGGGGGGGGGGGAGAGGGAGAGAGATTACAATATGGTACAATTTTATATCAATAAAGCGTTTAGGTTATACGAGGAAGAGAAATCAAAGACTGATTCATTATAACACGAATCGCAAAATTTCCTTGTTTCTGAACGGCTAAAGGTCATCATCTAATTAAGGAGATAAACACATCCTACAATTTAGAGTGATGGTGTAATAGATATGTTCCGTCCTCCTTAGAACATGCAACCCTTATCTGCTAAATACGGGGGTGGGGGGGGGCTGAATGGTTAGCACGTGCGCGCGCTGTATCACACGGTCTGTCATTGAGTCAACTGGCGGAGTTTCGATTCCCCGTTTGTACGTGACAAGGAGTAGGGTCGCCTGTCCAACTCGTGGGTTTTCTCCGGGTCCTCCGGTTTCCTCCCACTACTAAAGACCCCTACGCGCAAGCGAATTATTGAAATAAAAAATTGAACCATGTGTTAGTCCCGAAATTACCTAGTCTGTGTCGAGTGGACGTTAAACCCCATTTCTCTCTCTCTCCCTCTGCTTAATACATTTGAGTGTAGAATGAAGACAGTTTGCTGTGAAAAGAGTTTTTTTGTTGTTTTTTTTATTGTCGTTACTTATCAGGTGACATCAGCTTTATTTTAAAATTTTATAAGTTTCTTGTTGAAAGCGACAATAGATTTTTAACAAAGGAAAGACCCAACTATTTGTTTGTAAATGATTACATGAAGTCTGTCTGGGTCAATTGATTTTGTTTTCATACAAGATGTTTGTTTCATTTAAATTTATTTTCGTATGATTTACATACAATATTAAATATTATCAATCTAATTTATTTTCGTATAAAATGTTTGTTATATAGACCTTTTGATCAATATATAATTTATTTCTGTATACAATATTTGTACTCATAGAATTATATATATATTTTAAAATATAATTAATTTTCGTATAAAGTTTTTGGAAGCATAGTATTATAGTTCCATTTTCAATCAAATTTATTTTCGTACGAAATACAGGCAGTAGTAGGATTATAGTCCTATTTTCAATATAATTTATTTTCCTATGTAATATTTGCACTCATCGTTTTATTGTCAATATAATTTATTTTCGTATAAAATATTGGCACTCGTAGAATTGTAGCTCTATTTTTAAATATAATTTATTTTCCTATAAAAAAATTATAGAATTATTTTAATGGTGCTATTTTGTATTTGTTGCAGTATATTAACATATTGATGATTATTGATTTAGAATGGATATTAGATATATCACCTGTACAACACCTTGTAACTAGCCTACAGGTATAGATATATCACCTGTACAACACCTATACAACTAACCTATTGGTGTGATTTATTTATTTCCAAGATATTGTTTTTGTATCCATTGATGTAATAGATATATATTCTATATAATTTATTTTCGTAAAAATGTATTTATTTAGTTTCGTAGCATGAGCTAGGAGCAGTAATTTCAATATCTGTAGATCATATTATATACGCTGGCTCAGTGAGTAGGGTGCTGGCTAACCTGGAGATTTGCAGTTTCCCCTTGTCAGTGGTTCAAGACGGAGGGTCTGGCAAGGAACAGGGTGTAGTCGTTCGGATGAGACGAAAAACTGAGTTACTGCGTACACCTTGTCATGTACGTAAATGACCCTCTACCCTGCAACCAATGACAGCGTGGGGTGAGGGGAACGCCTAGGAAAATCCCGATTAACTTTTCCAACACCAGGACCGGACATACTCACTGAGTCACCGCGGCTTTCGATTTATCTCATTACAGAGATTATGGGCCACCTGCAAAATACCTGAGTAATTTGCCATTACGTGACACCTGTCCAACCCAATCAGTTTTCACAAAGAGTGTTGACAATCACTGTTGCATATAACTACAAGCCGATATTGAATAAAAAACTAGCCGAGGGTAATAACATAATATTATGGATAGCTTGTCATAAAATGACATGTTATTCAATACAGTAAAGTGAAGGTAATAAGACATTATCGAAAGGTTGTCATAAAATCATTTGTTTTTACAACAAACACGTCAACCAATTATATGTTAGTGTGATAGATAGGATGCCGTGTGTTCGATCCCGACATTGGCAGCGAATGTTTATCTGGGGTTTTCCCTTTTTCGGGGGTGCCACAGATTCGATCCCGACATTGGCGCGAATGTTTGTCTGGGATTTTCCCTTTTTCGGGGGTGCCACGGGTTCGACTATGACATTGGCAGCGAATGTTTTTCTATGTTGGAGAATGGAAGGCCTGGCATGGAATGGCGCCTAGTCGTTTGGTTCGGAAGTAAAACCGAGCTCCTATGTACAATTTGGCGTGCATGTAAACGAACCCGGAATAGTTGGAATTGGAAAAATGAGTCGGCCAAAGCTACAGCTGTCCGGCCAAATTTCCCGCTTAGGACACTGCATGACGTACTCCCGTCTTCATAGGCTGCTTTAAACAATATTTTATTTAAATAAGATAGATATTGTATACATACACTATCAAAAGGTAAGGATTCAAAAACAAGCCAAAGGCTTATATTAATTCGTCTCCATGTCTTCATAGGCTCAGGTGGCGCAGCAAAATAACACGTCAAACCCAATTTCATGTCAGGTGGGTGCAGGCGTTTCACTATTATTAGGAAACGGTGGTCGTCTATTGATAAGTCATTGACTGGAGTTCCTCGTCTGCTTTCTTAATTCGAAACACAAATCACCGTTTAGCAATATTGACTAAAGGTTTTACAGTTCAACAAACCATACGTGACAAAGTTCAAACTTTGACAAGTATTTCATTAGGTTCGATGAAGAGAATATTATAAATTATTTGATGAGCTACCTAGACGTCTGGTGTTGACATTGACATTCCCCATTTAGCAAATTAAAAATCTGTCTGTAACATGTTTCCAAGAAGTGGTTGATATAGTCTGTTTATTGACCCAGGTGAAGTTATTGGCCAAATAAGTAACTTATGTTAAAATGTCTGACAGAGGTTTGAGAGAGGTGAGGTTTTGTGAATATGGGTTTCTCAATAAAAAACATCAAATGGTTGAACTTGAACAAAAAAACGGTTGAAGTTTTAGCCATTAACATTTATCAAAACAAACAAAATGACATGGCCATTAACATTTATAGGCCTTGTCTACAAAAACAAATTTATTTCCGTGGACACATAATCATTCCAAGATGAAACATAAAATAAACTAAAGTTCTATTAATGTATCTGACAAAATTTTATCTCGTGAAATGGT